ATGAATGCACCCGGAACTGTGGTCCACAACTGGCCAAGTTTCGGGGCAGGATCGAAATAATGTGTACTTAGCCCAGGTAACCGCAAGACGCGATGCTTGACTGGAAGCTGGGGCAAGGAAGGCAGAGCCTGTTGCTTCCGGCTATTATCGCAATGCATAATTGAGCCGCCCCTGGACCCACTGTGCGTTTCCATAGTGGCGCATATGCGGTCAGTGATTGAGTTGTTCGCTTTTGCATCTGATTTATTGGCCACCGCACAAAATGCGCTCAATATTATATTGAAACGTGCCAAATTGAATGCATTGAATGCCAAGTGCCACCGCTGACCCCTCCTCGGCAGCTGTACAGAACAGAAGCGAATCCAGAAAGCATTTTGAAAGTGCGCCTAATTTTATACGGCAATCATACGGCCGCAATCCCGCCATCCTTCCACCGGACCAACATTTCAAAGTCCACCGACACTCACTCGTTCACTCACTCACTTATCCCACATGCATACCGGTCCTGAATAAATCGTGGTGTTGAGTGTGCGAAAACTGAAATTGCACTTCATTAAATAACCATCAAAACAACTCAATAAAATACTAAATTCTCGCAGTCCGAACTGAATCCATTGCCTCACAGTTGTAGCCGTGAGAATAGTTATTAAAAAATAATAATTATATACATTTTATAAGTAAAAATATTTACTAATTTGCTTTTAACCCTCTTGTTAGTTTTGGTTTTTGCAAGATCTTACTGCATATTATTTTTTAGTAACTCTAACACCTTTCCCTTTACTGTTCCTACGAAAGCATACAAAACCTATAAAAATAAAACAAATGGCGCAAACTTTTTCAATTTAACTACGATTACATTGCGCGGTTTGGCCCACATTCAAACATCCTACTCGTGTTTGGTTAAATTCACTGACAAACTCCGGCCAACACACGCTGCCGGGCTGAATTTTTGGCTGAGTGATGTGGCAGCCATTAAGGCAGAAGCGATTCTAACTCAAATGCACACTAATTTAATCAAATGCAGTCCATCAATGCCTTTTGCATTTGATGACTGGCCGTCCTCGACATCGGCCTCGACTAAAAGCACTTCTGGTATCAGTTTCCAACTAGCTACATTTGCAGCTCCAGACGTCCTAGAAATGTCCGTATTCGTTAGGACTGTCGCCACTCTCGAATTACGGACTAACGACACTGCAAATGGCAGAAGAGCTGCCCAAATGCAATTGATCAGCCAGCAAACTATGTGAGGAATTTATATTGGCAACATGGACAATAGGCATATAAATATGCGATCCCACAATCGATTAGGCCGACCACTCTCCTTTGATGTTGAATTCTATTTGGCCACAAAACGTTCCCTCCAGCCCAAGTCCAACTCACGGCCCAAAGCCTTCATTAATAATTCCCCCAAAAGTTAAAGACGGTCAGTCGTCATAAATGGAAGACAAATAAATGGCATAAAAGTTGGCCTTTGGCGCGAGGATGAAATGTGAGAGGACATTCCTTGGGCCGTCTTCGACGCTTGTGGCTTTGTTTCGCCAACTTTTCGCATTGTTGTGCGGCATTCTTTTTGGCCTATATATGCGGCAATTATTAAGATTAATACTCCTAATATGATGAGCACCGGCCACCACAAGAGCGTGACCAAGACGTGTGGGTCCGAGAGCTGATGTGTTTTTAATGAGTTCGGCGCGCAGTCGGCAATTAAGGAACATTAATTAATATTAAATATTTCAATGGCAATTAAATGAAATAATTCTTAGATGCCATCAAACCAGCCACAAGCTCGGGTCTCGGATCTTGGGTCAGTTTAAACTCGCAGACACACAATCCAAGCAAATGGGAAACTTTGTGGGCCAAATGAAAATTTCATTAACCGCAGAAACCAAATGGATTTGGCCAGCCTGCTCTCATCTCGGCCCATCTCACATTCCGTCCATTTGCCATTCAAATTTCGGTGGATTGCCCAAAAACTTTTTTCAACTTGGCTCTACCAGGGACACATGTTACAAAATTAGCAAATAAATTTCAAGTGAGACCCCCAAGTATGGGCCAACTTGCTGGGCGCATTCCGAATGCAAATGAATTGCACGCGATTTTTGATCAGGGCTGGGGTTGTAGGGTCAACTTTGAACTGGCACTGCATTCCAAAAGGCGGAGGGCAAGAAAAAGAAAATATTTTCCGAGGCATTTCAATTTGGTCCCGCAATACGCGTAATTGAAATTTGCATTTGTGTGAAGCAAAGGCGAAAACAAAAACCGAAAGAAAATCAAACGAAACCTAAAGAAAAGCAAAGGCGCCCAGAACTCCTAACTGAAAAAAAGATGAAGGTGGTCGAGGGGCTGAAGAAAGTGGCAAGACAGGCAGAAGGGACCACTATGCGGCACCTAAAGAAAGACCAATTAAGCGCCGCGGCATGGAATTTTGATTGCGGTTTGCAAATTTCCAGCGGTCCAGGCCAGTCGAGGAATCTAGAAAGAACCTCACACGCAGCTAGCCCGAATGAAGGTAATGAAAATTTTTATTTTCTCCACGCCTTTCAGGGCAAATGTTCCCAGACCATCGACATTTTTCAGCACATTAAGTCTTTTGATATTTATTTAAAGGCACACGAACAATCCAAGGACCTGTCAAGTCAATCGAATTGTTTGTCTAAAACGCGAATCTGTGTCCTGGGTCACCTGAGTCAACAACTTGGCTTTTCAGCTTTGTCACAGAATTTCTAAGAATTTATTCAAGACTCTGGAGGACAAGCTTCACTTAGAAAAATTCTTTCCATCAGTTTATTAATTAGATACTATTCTTAATTTAATATCCAACTTTAGGCAATATACATTTTTCAATAAGGATCCTTTCAAGTTTCATCATTTCGTTGTAAAGTTTTTAAATTTCTTATAAATTATGTATGCCTTTTCAGAGAATTCTATAAAATTCTCGAATAAAAACTTTATTTTCTTTCCATCCCATCCCACCGATTGCAGGACCGCAAATTGTTTTGAACTAGCAGTGAACAAAAACATAAGAAGCTACACAAATAGGCAGGACATTTCAAGGAGGGAAGCCAGCTGGATGTAGAGACCCTCAACTGTGGCCAAGGCCAGGCTTTGGCCAAATCTGTGGATGGGCAGTGGAACCGTAAATTCTATTGCATGACTTGATTAAATTCGCATGCAACGATGACCTGGCGACCCAGGACCCCGCCAACTTGCCCCACTCCCTCTCCAGGCAAACGTCCAGAGGCCAAACAAAGGCCACCAACGTTGCCAACTATGAAATAGCTGGAATTTCTTGGCTGTTTGCAAAAGCTGCCTTGGTCGGGGGCTTCTGTTTTGGCTTTGCCTTCGACCGTTTCCTCATTTTAACGTTTTAACGTGGCTTAATGAAGTTTCAGTGTCACAGCCATATTGCAGGCCCCCTCCCCCCGGCCGGCTGTTAATTTTGTGATGGATTTTATGCAGAGCGCCAAAAGAAACTTTGAACTTTAATAAGTATGTGTATGCAAGCATTTAACTTTGCCAGAGTTTTTTTCCCACACTTTTCTCATTTTCCTGTCATTTTTTTGACCACCCGCCACCCTTTGCATCGAAGCATGCTAAGCTGGCTGGCTTCTTTTCTATGCGAACTTTGCTAAAATATGCTTGGCAAGACTTGAAAGCATTTGAAGTAATGAAAAAAAAGCTACAAAAAATGCATCCAACAAGTAACCACGCACACTGACACACACTCTCGCTCCATAAAAGCGGTGGACATGGGGTCCACCCCTGCTTTTTTCGAGAGTGAGCGAAATCCTGGGATAACTATACAGGGAAACTGCGGAAAATTTAACGAAGCTTAACCTCATTCAATGTGAAAATACACTTTACGTCTACTTTGCGCTGTCATTTCGGGGCGCAACTCGAGCAGCAATTGTGCAAATACTCACTGCCGAAAGGGCGGAGGTCCTGGCCCACAAAAAAAAATAAATAAAAGGGGGCAGGGCTGACGGTGCCAACCAGGTAAACTTTTCAAACTTAAATGCAGAGCAGAATGATGAATGATCCCAAGATGCGAGCATCCAACAACCAAGGAAACTCACTTTATCTCCGTTCCATCCTTGAAGTGACGAAGTATTTGATTTTCAACTGTTCAGAGATGCACTTGAAGAAATTCTTCAATTCTATTCAATACAATTTCTTATTGCAAAACATATTACCATGGCAGTTGAGTGACTTTCAAGTTATGCAAGAACATTGATTCCGACATGCGATGCCGCCAAATGTCGACGACTCTATTCAATTGAAAACTGAAAGTGCAGCAACTTGAGAGCCCGATGGGGTTTCACATGACCGCGAAACTGCAGAGGAGCATTCGCAATTGCACTTGGCAGAGGTAGGCCGAGCCAATGCCCACCGCAATCACATGGAACGGACGTCATGTGAACGTCACCATTTGTGCCATCAAACATCCAAATGGCCGCGACATTGACCGCAACACTCGCTCTCAAAGTGTGAAATCGGATGCGGCTGGAGGTCTCCGAGGGCACAGTAGTAGCAGTGACTAAGTAGTAGCAGCAGTGAGTAGTAGCAAGAAGTTAAAGATTGGAAGACTTCTATGGAAAAATCAGAAATAAAAGTGAAGTGGAAGGTGTAAAGAAGGAACTTTAAGAAAAGACAGATTTTTTGATTGTTTTGAAAATACATCTGGATAATAATATGAGCGCTTATGTAAAATATTCATTATTTTATATACATACCTTATAAAAAACCCTCCTCCAAAAATATCTAAAAATCCATATTACCCACATTTATGCCCATTGTGCCATTGCGGTAACTGCGGGCGGACTATGGCCTGTGGATCGCATCTGAAAGGGACAATCTGTGCATCTGGGCAGCTCCAAGTGAAAGTGGGCGCCTCCACTTGCACAATACCCAAACCAAGCCAATGAACTTGCTGCGTAGAGGCGGCAACTCCTATCCTATCCAATTACTAGAGACTTTGGGTGCGTCATTATAAAAACGACGATGAGTTGACAGAAATTTACATTTCAAAGCGAACCAACACCCACGACACAGCAACAGCTGCGTTCCTAAAAAACACGCACTGCAGCCCACCAGGACAAGGACCCAAAACAGGAGGAACCGGGAACAGAAAGGAGCAACCGAGCCGAGCACCAGCGACATGAGGCCGCCCAAATACGGCGCATATGCCAACAGTTCATTAATGATCTATGCATTAATGTGGTACTCGTTGGCCGCGACAATAGATGCCATTGACACCCCCCTGCCGCTGTCCCTGGGCGAGTACCCGCACTTCCACGATTCTGGCGCGGAATCGTTTTCGGGATTAGGCGGATATACACGAAATTATTACGGCCCGACAACAACTACCACGACTGGTGGCGTTGCATCGCTGGCCGTCGGCGGTGGCATAGGCGATGACTTGGCAACATATGGAAATTATGCTCACAAGCTCCTGAACCATCATCATCCTCCTCTCTCCCACCACCAACACCCATCGCTTGGCACTACTGCCAATGGGTTTGTGCCCTTCTACTACAACAGCAAGCTGCACTCGCAATTTACGGAGGACGTGGATGGGAATGCGGAGACGGAGGCGCGACAGCCGGGAGATATCGATTTTGTCATTAATGCGGCAAATTATGACCCCAATACCGCCGGCTACGAGGCAGCACCGGAGCCGGAGCACCAGCACCAGAAACAGCTAGAGCCGCAAAACCAGCACCAGCACCAGACCCAGTTTCATGAAAACTATGCATATCGGCCGCGGGTGTCGTTTCCCACGTCGCCTTCCAATCATTACCAATTCGAACAAATTTCCAATTACCAGGAGAACAGGGAGAGCAGGCATCAGCCCCGGCATCAGGAAGAACGAGACGAGCGGGGGGAGGATATCTACGCAAGGATCAAAGGACTACAGGAATTGGTTAATACAGTGAAAAGAGAGCAAAAGGACGCGGCGGTATCTAGTCACCAGACGCAGCAACACCAACACCAGTCCCACCAGCACTACCTCCCGCAACAACCAGACCATAAATCCCATCTAAGGTACAATGCCCTGGATCAACGACAGCAACAAAGATCCGGCAATGTCCAGGATCAGCAGTTGTTGTACTCGAACACAGACACCCACATTGCAGACCTGCCTCCCGTGACCACCAGTGTCCACCACACCCCCTCCAGCAGCAAAGCCGTGGCCGGGGTGCCTCTGGCCAAGCACATTGAAGTCACCCGGAACGTACCCGTGACCCACTACCAGAAGCAACACGTTCCCTACAAGCAAACCGTGCAGATGCAAGTCCCCAAAACCGTGATCGCCGCGATACCCAAGCCCACACCCATCAAAGTGCCCGTAGCGAAGACCGTGGCAGTGCCCCAGCTACAGGAGGTTAAGATACCCATCGAGCGAGTCAAGCCTGTGCCCGTGGAGCGCCCCATTCCGTTTGTGGTGGAGCGAAGAGTTCCGTACCGAGTGGAGAAGCCGGTGGCGACGCCAGTGTACTATCCGTATCCCGTTAAAGTGCCAGTGGTGCGGACGGTGGTGCACAAGCAGCGACCCCACTATGTGGCGCCCGGATGGAGTGCCACCGGCAATCATCTACTAGGCTGAGTGCGGAGTCCGAAGTCCGGAGTCCTGGGAGTGCATAGATGGACGAGCTCTCTTTAAAACTGTACTATGTATGCATATGATGTTAAGTCTTAAATAATAAATCTTTAATCTTGTCTTTCAAAAGCTGAGTCGGCATTCATTTACTCTTTCATTGAATATCTTTATGGAGAGGCTATGAAGTAGCCTCTTAAAATATGAAGTTCATTCTAAAGGATATGCCTCTTCCTTTGAAGACATTTTTCCTCCTCTTTAGTGCCAGTCAAAGTCTGTATATAAATCTTGGTATATTTCTTTAAAAGAGTATTTCATTCGTTGCCAACTTTTTTATATTTTTTGTGACCCTTCGGGCAGTGAGGCTAAAGTAATTGCAATTAGTGCTGTAGAACAAAGAAAAAGAGAAGACTGTAGAGTAAAGACTAGCTCCCAGCACCCAGCTCCAAACTCCCTAGTCCAACCTCAATTCCCAAACTCCGAGCAAAACAAAACAAGACATTTCGAGTCGAAAGTTGAAGTCAGAGTCAGAAGGCAGGTCCCAAATGAAGAAAAGTAGCCGGAGTAAAACTTTTTAATTGAGCTAAAATCCAACAAATGCGGCTAATAAATATGTATTGAAGTGGGTAAAGCGGGACGAGGGTCTGCTGTGAAATGCCACCAATGCAAAAGTAGCGAAAGTGCAAGAAAATGCAGCGGCTAATTGCCAAATGTAGCAACAACATCAGCAACAGCAGAAGCAACAGTAGCAACAGCAGTCGAAGCAACAATGACGCACAAAATAAACGCGACGTTCAACTTCAGCGAGGCGTTAACGAAACAGCAACAAAATTAGCCAAAAAGTAAAGTTGCAACGAAAGTGCCAGGGGTTAAGGAGACCGAGAGACTGGGTAACTGTGGGTTAAGAGCCGAGGATCGACTCGGTCTTATAGTTTCTTGTGGAAAGTGCTGCAAGTTATTGCCGGCTAATGAAATTAACTCTAATTGACGTGGGGGCCTTTTATCCCAGTACTGGTAGGACGACGTCTTCCAGCGACAGGATTACATCACTCTCACCCACACCCTCTATGTAATGACAAAAATGGCAGCGTAATTAAAGGTGGTCTTGAAATTATCAATTAAACTCATTGCTAACCACATTATTAGCATTTATAAATTATAAAATGCGAGTGCGAAGACCACCGAGTGGCGGAAACCCACTAAAAATCTCATATGAACGTGCAAATCAAATATTGTCCGCCTGTGCGCATTCATGGCATACAGTTGCATAAATTCATAATTGCACTGCCCACATAAACCGCTTCGTTAGGAATTTTGCTCATCTGACCACTGCCCACCGCAGCTGGCGGCGATGTTCGAAATGGTCATGGGAACGGGCTGGGATCAGGCCAATGACGAAAGCCGCAAAACGCAATGAACACGACTCCTCTGGTCGCATGGCTGACCGCGAATCTGCTGATGAGACTCCTGACTGCATCCAGGTCCTGCCACAGACAATATCCCCCCATTGGACTGTATCAATTTCGACTGCACCCCTTTGCTAAATTATTTGGAATGTGATTTATGTTCAATAATTTAATCAAAATAGCAATTAAAGAATATATTATCCTTACTTTACCTAAAGAAGAACAATATACGACTTCTATCCTTAACCCACTCATATTTTTTGACAGCCCATCAGACTATGGATTTAGAAGAATCATCTTACATGGCAGAAAAAAAGAAAAATAGAAAAACATTCCCACTGGCCGTCCTCTCAATACAGTGAGATAACAAAATCGGAAAGCCAAGAACGCCAAAATCAGCGACTCCTACTAGAAGCCCACAAAATGACTTTATAATTTGGGAAATGACTCCGCACTTTTGAGCAGGTAAGAGAGCACGGCGACAAAGATAAACATTAAAAATTAATCAGCACTTTTGCACCAAACTTTGATAATTGCCGAGTGGCCAAAATGAAGCCAAAAAGCGGGAAACAGCAACAAAGTGGGAGGGTATTTAATGGCCAGAAAAAGAAAGGCGAGGGTGTTGGGCGCGAAGTCTTTGAAAAATGACAGCCAACAGCAATCAGTTAGCGCGGGCGGCACAAACTTTTAACCCTTTTTCGGGGAACCCTCTGGCCAAAAAGTTGTTTGGCCAAAACGAAACGGCCATTTGGAGTGTGCGGCTGTGTGTTTTTTGTGAAATTGATGTGCAACATAAAAATTTGCGACTCAGGTGGCGAGTTATTATTTTTGATGTGCAGCACGGCTTGAATCGCAAAGTGGCGGCCACGCGCCGACTTTCTTGATTATTTTAATTGCCGAATGGCAAAGTAACGCGCTGCCAAACGGCAAAACGGCCAAAAGCACTTTGGCCATACAATTTTGTGGCCATAGAGAAGAGTTCAAGTTTAGTGTGAGGGTGCGGCGACAGGGCGTATGAGTGATATTTCATGTTTACAGTTTAGTGTGTAGGTGGGATGGGCTTCTCCACACCTCATGCTTTGGTCCCGGCTCGTAAAGGAAACTGCTTGGAATATATCTTTTATGATTACCATAAACTATTTACACAGAACTTTAATAATCTGGTGCGTGCAGCAGCAAAATGTTGCCAAGTATTTTATACTCCATCACACAGAGACGCGCCAAAGGATTTATGTCGAGTCACAACATGCTGCAGGATCTGATGTCTGGTGTATATGTGGGTTGTTTGTTTTGCTTGCCAGTCAGCCAGCCAGCCAGCAGTGTCTGGCTGTTGACGCATCTTACTGCCAATACAGCCCTCACTCCCCCACACACCCTGCAGCAAAAGTTTGCGAACACAAACAGCTACTCAGGCGTATAATTGCCATTAAAGTGCGCTTAAAATGAGCTGAGAGACCCTCGAAACGAGCTGGTTTTATCGGGCTCGATACGTGGCAATGGAGTGTCGGAGATGGCCCTGCCTTTATGCATAAGTACGAGTATCAATATTTCACAACTTGCCCCATTGGGGGGTCCGGCAATTAAGTGCTGCAACTTTCGGTCGTTCAGAATTTTTCATGCCACATTATTTTTGGATTCTGGGGCTCATCAAGCCAAGAATATCAATGTGGGATGGGTTAAGTAGTGGCCGTACTGGCAACTGAAATGTTTCTAATTAAAGCTCACTGACATATTCTCGAATGTCAGGCAGAAAATCTGGCTTGGCCAGAACCAAGCTTTCAATCGCCTCAAGGTGACAGGGAGAGTGAGTTCAGGGGGTTTCACTGTTTCACATTGATTGACAACTAGGGCCTGAAAATGCAGGGATATGATTACCTTTAGGTTGCTTAGAGAATTGTCATCCCGGTGTCAGAAAAGACAATGAGGCCGGCTCTGATGCCGGAGCTGAACCAGCAACAGTTTCGGATGCAGCTGCAGATGACAGCAGTCAGTTGAGAAATGAAACTAAATGGCTGAAAGCAAACATTCTGCTCTGCACCGGATCATATTTCAAATTCAAACTGTGACCAGTCAGTCGAGTCGACTTGCTGACGCTGATGCTGCAGCTACTGCTCCATTGCAGAGGCAAACAGATAATGAGCAAAAATGCTTGAAATCAAGAGAAGGAGTACCATACACACTATAAACAAATGGGCACAGCCAGAACCGTCAAAGTTTCAGGGGCTGGCAGAGCGTTGACATGCTGACAGCACATTATTTACCAGCCAGGCAAGAAATTATGAACTCCGGCAATATTGCAGCGCCATGAACTGAAGCTGAAACCCGGTGTAATATATAAATTCTGCTCATATATCCGTTTTTAATAAATTAGTTTGCAATTTGCCACGCCTGACTGGGTCGAGAGCTGCCGAGTGCACAACAACACCAACAGCCACAGCAATGACTGTAGCAAAAGTTGCAGCAACAACATCACAAGTGGCAACAAGAACATTCCAAGATACAAAGCTCACCTTTGCCACACGCAGACCTGCTTTCGAGTGCCACAAAGGCTTCATAAAGTTGGTATATATCATATGGCTGTGCTGCACTTCCGTTGCACAACGCCCTCTGTCGGAATTCTGGGGTAACTAATGACCCCATGCACACACGGGCTTCTTTCCCGGACTTACCTTTTGGCATTCTAGAAAGTTTCAAAGTCTCACAACAAATACGAAAATCATTTCCAACTATTTTGGTAAAATGGAAAATTAACTTTTATTCATAAACAAAGGTAAACCAAAACTATTAAGGTTTGAAAAAATTTATTTGAAAATAAAAGGGGATGGAGTTGAAAGAGTTAAAATACCATAAAATTAGTACAATTAGCCAAACAATATTTATAAAACATTGTTAATTCTTTGGTTGAAAAAATGAAACCTTTTGTTACCTTTAACAGATACGTTGCCAACATATTTAATCAAGCTTTCACATTTGTACAAAAATATTCTATAAAGCTTATTACATAACACCGAATGGCACTCGCTGAATGGAAATCCTATTAAAAGTTCGTTTGGCGAATATTATTTACATCAAGGTGGGCCAGCTTTAAGTGCGCGGACCATAAGCCGGCACCCGACTAATACCATCATTCAATGTCAGGCAATTTCCGGTGCCGACCTGGCCGCCAAAATCGCAAATTCGAAAATTCCGCGAAGGCCAATGGCAAATTGGTAATTGGTATACCGTAAGCGCGCCAGATCATCAAAATGGGCAATGCGGACAGGTCAGGATGGGACGACGAGGATGCCATCCAAGACACCCAGGACCAGAAAAAGGCAGACGATGTGTAAATCATTTGAGCAAAACGTAGACATAATCTCGGCGCACGGGCATTGCTACAGTGCACGTGCCAGAGGCTTTTATTATTGTCTGCCGGCTGTTGGCTGCTGGCTTGGGTGGCCTTCTGTTCGTCGGTCCTAAGACCCTAAAAAATTCATAACATGTAGCGTCGCATATCCCGAAAATCCACACCCGAAGACGGCGACAATGTGAGCACCCATCAGCAGCCATCATCATCTGGAGGAGGCGGAGGTACGAGTCTGGACTGAGCCGGGACCCATCTCGCTGAGTGGCGGTCTTACGTGGCAATGACATGGGGGGATAAAAGTATCATTGCTTTTCGAGAGAGTCCTCTTCGTGGGCCGCCTTGGAGCTGCTAGTATTACGAAAGAAGCTTTAGGGGTGGAGTGGACTCTCAGCCAGCTATTGTGGCCAACAATAAAAATTCGTATTCCCATTATATAGCCATTATTGTTGCTACTCCACCGCACATATTCCCACCTAAATGCGTGTGTGTATTTCAAGCCAAAAAGGCAGCTAGCAATCAATAAAAAGTTCTCTAAATGAAATGAATGCCATTTAAGATGGAGATGTCGAGGGGTAAGAGAGTGCCACCGCATTATAAACACTTCAAAAAATCACTTTTGGCCAAAAACTTGTACAAAAATATTTATATAAATAGCTAAACCGTACCGAACTAAACTTTTTCCGGCGGAGTTATATATTGCGGCTACAATTTGGAGAGCAAGCTCCAAACTTTCATTATGCAAAAGTTTTTTAATAAAAGTGCAAACATAGTGGCAGCTGACTCCCGGCCAACCCACACACACTGTCTTTTTTTGGCACACATGCACTTGGCCGTTATTAAAACCAACTGTTTTGTTTACTGCCGGGTGATAGTGGGTGGTTGACGTCAGAGGCAGTCCATAAGCAATTGCATAAGCAAATGTGGTTCGCTTTCGCCTATAAACTCAACGGAAGCAGAACCAGTAGCAGCAGCAGTCTTGGATATCACCGAAATTCAGAACAGGCCTATCGAGCTGAGATTTCATTTTGGTAATTGCAGATACTGATTGTATTTGAATTTAATATTAGCAATTAGCAGAGCTTGTCTGCCAGAGAGCGCCTGTCAGCTGCACAAAAGCAAGTCCCCAATAATAGCAAAATTGTTTGATGTTTTTCCAATGCATTCTCTACTACCGCATTTCTGATTATAAATTAAATTAATTAATTTTGTGTCCAGCACTCTCGGCAAATAACACAATTTCCCTCTTCTGTGGAAGCAGCAAGAACAGTGTTTAGTTAATTAAATGAAATATGTTTTATGAAAAAGTGAAAAGGGCTCTAATAAAGCGGCGAAATAAAAATCATAATAACATTTTAAATGTTTAATTTAACATAAAAAAAAGTGTATAAAAATAAGAGGGCAAGGAAGTTGCAGGCAGGGGCTAGGCTGGCTCATAACCAGCCGGAACGAAATGGAAGCAAGTCAACTTATACAGTCAAGTGAGTTGGCAGCGATATTACGTATACGCACGCATGCACATGGCGACAAGGCAAATATTTTGTATGCAAAATAAAGTACTTCAAAAGTCACTTAAAGTGTGTCGCTGGGCGGGGCTGCTTCCTGACTAACCGCCTGACTGGAGGGGCATAAAGAGCGTAAAAAATGTTAAATGATAAATAAAATTTACAACCGCAGCAACAACAAAGCCACCAACAACGACAACGGCAACATCACCGCCAATGCGCGATGCGAGGAGACGTCGACGGACGGAACATATGTGGCAAGCAAAGAAGTTTTTAGATTTTTTTTCTGCTCGCCTCGCAGTGCCTCGCCTTTGGAGCAACCAACCTCGTACCAGCAACATAATAAAATGCAATTTAGACATCAAAAATACACAGTAAATGGAGCAAGAGTGGCGAGTGCCATGCGGAAAGGGGCGATTCGCGGAGGGAATTCGCGAAAAGAGTCAGAGACAGCCGCGTGACTGACAAGCAAGGGCCGAAGAACCGCATCCGCATCCACGACAAACGACAAACAGGCGAGCGAGACACAAAGGACGAGCCAGCCAGGACACGTAAAGAAAAGTTTTCACAAAGCCTGCACTTCTCTGATGGCAAAAGTTATGGCAAAAAATTTCTACAAAAAAATTAATAAAAATGTGTTAAATTTATAAAAAAAAACTACCCAATTTTTTATCTGAGAATGAAACAAAAATACAATTCTCATATAAAATAAAAAAATTTCTTGGCTTTTTTTAAAAACACACTTTATTTTGACATACAGAGTTTATTTCTTAAATTAGCTGAAATTGATATCCCCATTTTTTCTTCAAGTGCAACAAAGCAAGTGAAGGAGCAAATAGGATGTGCGTGCCTGGGGAAAGAGGGATTGCTGGCGAGAAAATTTACTGAAAACGATATGTTACCCTTTTCGCTGGCAACCTCTTCCTGCCGAGGGCACATTTAAGGCCGGAAACAAATCTGATGTAGCCTACTTTTTAGGCCAGTGACGAAGAAAAACCGAAGAAACGAAGAAAAAATGGCCATAGGAGTCCCTTGGCCAATTCAATCGGTCTGCAAATCAAAGCGGAGAGCTGCAAAAGCGACACTGGACCCACGGATTGCAGGACGAGGGAATGAGAACACAGGCGGCATGCCATCGCGTCGCAGGACAACAAAGGTGTGCACTTAATTTAATTAGACCCGGCGACTCGGGGCACCACGGGATGCAAGGGATGCCGGGGATGTCGGGGATGCTGTTAGCCCCTTCATTTCAAAACTCCAGCTCCCAGATCCCCAGCCACCCAACGATGTAATGGTCTGGAAATGGCATTTGGCAGCCTGAGAACAACGCTGGAGCGCGAGCCTTTTGTGAAGATGAATTTCATTTCATTAAACACAAATTTCATTGTGTGCGCTTAAAGTGAAATTAAATAAATGAGAGCGGCAAGGTGGTTGGTTGGCTGGCCGAGATGCCGGTTGGGAGAGCGGGTTATGGCCATGACAAATGCACCGTAAAATCGCTGGCTAAAAACCTCTCAGCCCTTCGCATTCCTTTGCAGTATGTGTGTCGTCCGTCCTGTGTGTTTCCCCTTCCGATTCCGATTCTCCGCTTGTGCTGTTACTGTTGCTGTTTCAGTTTCCGTTCGTGTTTGTATTTTAATGCAAATTGTTGTAATGTTAAATGAGTCACAAAATTGTTGTACTTTACGAGGATTAAATGAATTTTAAAATGGAATACGAAATGTGAAAACTGCATAACGATGTGCGCTTTGGTTTGACGGGGCGTATGCGTAATGTGCTTATAATTATAACGAAATACTCTCTGTGCACTGCAATGTTGATGCAAATGAGGATTCAAAAATGGGTTACGTTAGGGTTCAGTTGGAATATACTTAGTGGTTACTGGGTGTCCTACCACCAGCTCTTGACCTTGTGCAGGACGGTTTTGAAAACGGGCACCTTGACGGGAAAGGGCTTGGGCACCTTGATGGGCACATATTTGACGACGTGGTACGGCACATGCTTCTCTACCGGCACCGGGATGTGCTTCTCTACGGGCACCGGCACCAGTTTCTCCACCGGCACCTTCAACTCCTTCTCCACGGCCACCTGCACGTTCTTCGTGATCGGTATGTGGATGGGAACCGGCTTCTTGACGGGAATGATCACCGCATGTGAGATTGGTATCTTGACGGGCTTCTCCACCGGCACGTGCTGCTTCTTCACATGCTTCACCGGCACATAGTTGATGATGTCCACGTGGTGCGAGTGGTGGGTGTGGCCCTGGCCGTGACCACTTGCCTCGGACAAGTAGTTGGAGCTCTGCTCCTGGCCAGCGTCGGGATGCTCCTCGTAGTCGTCGCCGCCCGATCCGCTCGAGGCAGACGAAGCCGATGCCGAGCCGGAGGCGGAGGTTTCATGTGGACTGAAGAACGACGAGTGGGGAACTTGTTCCTGCTGCTGTTGGTGCTGCTGGAAATGGTGCTGCTGCTGCTGATGGTAGAACTGCTCCTGTTGTTGTTGCTGCTGCTGTTGTTGCTGGTGGTGGTGGAACAACTGTCCCTGCTGGTCATCGTATCCAGAACCTTGCTCGTACTGCGGCAGGAAATTGCCCATTGAAATTTTATCGTACGCATACGGATGAGGGTCCTGCGACTCCGGCTGCTGGTGCTGTGTCTCGTCCGCCCCCGATGATGACCAAGATCCGTAGCTCTGTTCTGCCCCCGCACTGCCTCCATAGAAGCCACCACTGTGTCCTGCGCCGATGCCGGGATAATTGTAAATCGGCGCTGACTGGTGGCCATTATCCTGGCCAGTTCCAGAACCGAAATCGTGGGCTCCAGCTGCCGCAACGGCGGCCACCGCTGCTTCTTCATTGTGCTCCTCGTAAATCGGTATCTCCTGTTTCTGGGAACCCAGGGCCAGCGCCTCCGTGTGGGTGGGCGCCACTGAACCGTATCCATTGCTAATGTGCCCCAGCCCGGAGAGACTTGTGAGTCCGTTTACGACATGCGGGGAGCTGCCGCTGTAAGCCCTCCTTTCGCCCGTTTCGCCAACGCCTCCTGCCGACACCCTGGAGAAGCCGTAACGATGATTTGGATGAAGATGCTGCTGCTGCAACGCCTGATCCATGGGCAGCCATCGGTTGTCGAACAAAGAGCTCATACTGTGATGACTGGGGGCATATGATGGTGGATTCTTGCCCGTCTCCGAGGATGTGCCAGTGGTTGTGGTGGCGGCACTGACAATTGTCAATATGGTGGTGGCGGCTGCGATGAGCGGCAATTGCTGCACAGAAAGAAGTTTATGAGAAATATTAATTTACAGAAGTTATATTTCCAAAGTCAGAGCTTTTTAAAATCCTTTTGAAAGTAGGAACAAATTTGGTTCTTTTATAATTTTGAAATTTAGAATTTAATAAAATATTTAGTCCTCGAATGTTCTTATTATTTTCCTTGTGCACAAAAAACGATTTAATATGCAAAACACTTGAACGCGGAACAAAAAGAAACCAAGGTGCTGAATAGCGTTCCTTTGAACACCAGAATTTTTGCATAATGCATTTTTAATATCCTTGTGCTTAGTCCAGTTGAGTTTAGTTTAGTTTATTTCACTTGGTATCCCACACTCACCAAATTAACGTTCGCCATTTGTCTTAGTGGGCTTCGAATGGGATTAGACCTTGATTGCTGCCCGACTGCCGCGATGGGAATGTGCCCGAATTGTACCTGCCGCTGTCTTTTTATATCCCAGTGAGTAGGACAGCCTCCGAATCTTTTCCTCTTACACAATTTTTAGCTTCACCTACAGCCGCAGCTTTAGCTCCAGCTTCAGCTGTGTTGATAGAAGGCGGTCGGTCGACGGTCGGTTGTTGGCCAAAAAGTGAGTGTTTGCCATTTGTTGACCTGCCTGTTGCCTGGTGCCTGCTGCCAGTTGGCTGTCTCCTTTGTCACTGGCTCTTTCTCTCTTTTCCTCGCCTGGCGACTGCATTTATGAATTAAGTTACGCGATCGATTCAAATCGCCTCGCACAAAACCCAGAAATGTTCAAATAATAACCAAATCATGAAAACCGGCTCCATCTCATCATCATCTCGGTCCCCTTTGCCTTCGCTCACCATCGCCATCTCCATCCCAAGCCAAATGAACACTTGAAAAAACAATAAAGTTCAAAGTCATTTTCCACGACAAGGAATTAGAGTCCGCCTGCTTGGCACGCGCCTCCGCTGCACCGATGCAGCTTCATTATAATCTCGCCACGATCACGATCTCCGGTGGCCTTCACGAGCAGAAAACCAGCCGGCTCTCAAGCAGCACTCCTGCGGTGGAGTTGAGTGGAGCTGTTTTCCAGCCAAGGTACTTCAGGCTGGCCCCAAAAGTGGTTCGACCGCTTGGCGAAAGGCGGACAAAAGCTGGTGGCTGTGATTACTCAGAGTGGGGGCTTGCAAGAAAAATTTTAAGAAGTAATGGAATGGGGGACTCATCTAGTGGAAACCATTCGAGTTATTATAAATAAGTAATTAAGTAATAGGACGAAATGACAATTAAATTCAATCAATTTAACTTTTCAATTTCACTTTAATCAGAGAAAAAAGCTTTCAGCTAAAAAAATGTTTGAGTAAATATTGTTCCATTAAATCCACTTTTTAACTTTTCAAACGTTTTTTTTATACAATAAATAACTATAAAATTATGTTCTAGTACAAGTATTTTTTTATAAAATTATAATTACAACTATATTTTAAATCGATTTTGTTTGGTTTATTGTTGCGTAACCTTTGATAGTCTCAATATCAAGGTGGTCCTTTGTCTCATAACTTTTAAAAGAGTAAATAAATCAAATGGAAATCTCAGCAAATACATCTATAGTTTGGAGTTAAAGCCTTATCGGGCTTAAACATTTCCATTTGCCATTGTTTTCGGGGCTTTGCCTTCACCTTTTTGGCCAAAAAGGTTAGTTTTAATTGTTTTAACAACTTTTTTCGTCTTTTACTTGGCCATTGTTTGGGCTGGACGGTTTTTCTTTTGGCTCTTGCCTTCTGGCCAGCAATGGGGCGTGGCGGGGTAAAAGTGAACGCCTTTTAAGTGCACCTGCAGACATGATGCTGCTGATTATATTTTTCTTGCCAAGCGTAACAGCTCGTTAGTATTTTCAAGTGATTTTCATTTATTTCCCTTGGCTGCCCTGGCTGCCTTCGTCTACCACTTTTGGAGCCAAACTCGACCTGTAGACCGTTGGATCGGTGGAAAGGCCAGTCCAAGACGAATGAATACCCAGGCAGCGCAAAAGGAAGTGTACTGATTTGAAAGGAAACAAACATTTCTCCACTGCCCAGAGCTGGGCTCTTATCGTTGCTCCGGCTGCCCTGGCAGTCACTTTTAATGCTGCTTTTGCCGCAGCAGCAGTACCACTGCTGTTGGATAGTATTTTTTTAAGCGAAATTCACGCTTACTTCATTTCAATTACAATTACATGATTCCATTTCTCTCGCTCGCTGCCCGCAAATGCAAAAATGATGTAACTTAGTTGGGACCAACGCGATTACCCACCTTACCCACCAATCCACAATCCCCAAGCCTGAGCCATAGCCAGACTCAGTGATGATTGCTTCGTGGAAGCCCCAACCCTCGAATAACAAAATTTAAATCCCCTTTCTGAAAGGACTCTCCTGAACCAATCAATAGCTTTGAGCTCACACAAATATAAACAACATGAAATCGCCTTTTAAATACTATATTTTCGCTTTCCATTTATGTTTCTCATTTTTTCTCCTTTTTTCTTTGGGCTGCAGCTCAAACAAATGACACAGACGAGCACAGATGCAGATCCCCACATTCAGATACAGAGACAGATACAGATACAGACACCGACGCAGATACATATGCAGGACGGATGCAAATGCATATCCATACGCTGAGCTGGTTATAAAATAAATAAAACTGTTTCACATTTTTGCTGTGCTGGGCGCTCTGCTTTCGAGTCGTTTTAAAACTCTTTCAAATGTTGTGTAATATTTTGCAAGCCCCTATATTTTTTTTTGGCCAAGCAAAAAAAGCAAAAATATGAATTTGAAATGCCAGTTGGGGGTGGAGTGGAGTGGAAAAACGGATATGGCTGTCGGACGAATATCCTTCTGCAACGTGCTCATATTTGTATTGTATTTATGCACACAATTTTATTATTGTTTATTGAAATTGTGAGGCTGCAAACAAAGGCTATTGGAATTTCGGTGCCTAAATACAAGTTCCAACAATACTAAGCACAGTGCCACATTTTTGTCAAACCGAACATTTTCGATTGCAACTGCCCCCCCCCATTGAAATAGACAAATCGGGTTGATGTCAACCGAAAAATAAGTGTTTGGAGTGTAAGGTTACAGGAATTGGTCAGCTTATGGGAGATTCAAAAACCAGTTGGTGTCCGCATATCTGGTTTAAATGCCATAGCAATTGATTGATCACAAAACAAAAATGCACAATATAGAACTCTTCTGAAAATGGCACTTCATGGGGGATAGAATGCCAGGACAATGGTTTCATAATTGTTATTTTTAGCCAAAAACTTTTAAGAATTTTTTGTACATCTTGTTGTCCCTCAAGTGAATAATACTTGACCGAAACCGAAAAGACTCTTGCTCCCGTGAACTTTGAGGTTTGCGTGCTGAGATGACGGCGGGGATGAATGCGCGAGAGTACACCCGGGCGTATACTTAATTGCGAGCGTGTTTATTATCTGGCTGTGCTGAACGTCATGGTCGTAAATTAAAATGACACGCTTTGCATATCCTTCCACGCCCCCACTCTCCGCCCAAACAAACAGAAACACACACACGGCAGCAATAAAAATTTTAATTATTCAATTAAATTACACTCGAAGGCTTTGCTCAGAGTTTGGCGAAATGCGAAATGACTGACGGCTCATAAAATTGACACCGACACACTTGCACGACAGGACGTGTCCCGTCCTGGCCGTCCTGCCAGTCCCGGCCCGTCAAATGGCATGAGTGGCCCAAGGACAATGCATTCGCACCGCACACTGCGACGAAATCATATAAAAATCATGTTTATTTAATTTGCATTACAAAGACCCAACGCTTTCCCAGCCGCCGCTCGTTAAACTCCCTCCGTCGGGCGGGCCGGGCCGGGCCACGCCCACGTTTTAAAAAACAATAAACCCTGCAGCTGAGGGGGTGGACGGCCGGCACGTAAAATGATTAGCAAATATGCCCCCGAAATAGGCGCACACAGATACGTCGCCGGGGGGCGTTACCCCGCCATAAACTTGGGGGACATTAAAGCCCGCCAAGGTGGGGCAGCCGGTGATTCCTCCCGAAGGCAGCGGGTGCGGGGTCTGCAAAAGGATGGGGCTAGCTTCTGGCACGCAATCCCCCGAGCGGCCGGGGCATTGAGGCAAGGCACGCATATTTAATTAGCTCCATGCACTGTCGTTTGTTGCTGCTGGTGGGCGGGGGCTGAGACGCGGGACTGGAGTGGTTTTCCAGGGCAGAGAAGTTAGTGACCGCACTCGTGCCGAGCCACAGTGAAGACCCTCTCAAGGGATTCGGTTGTGCCAGATTTGATTAGGTATTGAAATAATAATGGATCACAAGCCAACAATTGCCCAGGAGTTGGGAGTTGTGCGGGAAATTTGGGTTTTAGTTCTTGTTTTTTATAAATATTTGTTTTGGAAAAATCATTTTTAGAAAAGTTCCTATAGATAAATTTGTCTTCTTAGTTAGTTCCTTTATGCAATTTATAAACGTTTCTCGCAAAACCTCTAGAGATTCTATCTCTTGATTGTATTGTATTGTATTTTATTGTATTTTTAAGCAACTTTTCATTAAAATAACACAATGAAAGCAAAAATAAAATATTAATGAAAACAAAAAGCTGAGAACTTTAATTATTTATGTTTTAATATTAAAATATAAGCAGTTCCTAGAAGTCCTCACCGTATTCTGGTCCTCGATTCGTACTCCATGTACGGCAATATGTGCTGAAGAGCCGACGAGGCAATTTTTATATGCGTGTCCATGTCGTTCCTTTGCTGATTTTGCTGTTCGCTGCGTTTCTTGTTTTTGTTGGACTTGTTCTCATTGCTGTAGTTGCTGTGTAGTTTTAGTTGTAGCTGTGTGATTAATTCGCGCAAAGAGTTGTGCGCTTCCGTTTCCGGTTGCTGTTGCTGTTGCTGTTCCTTGTGCTGCTGCCTGTGCCTGGGCTGTTCTTGTTGTTATTGTTGGTGGCACCGCGAGCTTTTGTGTTTCACATTTCACAGGAGGCTGATTTGTGCTTAGTCGTGGGTGAGCCAGTGGGCGGGCGCAATATTAATTGTTTTGTGCCCAACGAGGCTTAAAAACACATGCTCATGTAAGCCACGTCCGCTGCAGTAGCCTCTTTTCTCCGTATTTGGTCTTTCTGCACCCCTCTGGCCACTCTGGCCTTTTCATGTTCATGTTTTGAAAAATCAGAAAACACACAGAAGGATCCAGATGGAAAGGGAACCCCAACTGTATTGTAGAGTGATTGTATAGACTCGGGGCAACAGTTGACGCTTCGGCCGAGGCCCCCGAACATTTAAGATAAGAGCGCCACAATGGGTTCGTTTGTGTGCCATTAATATGAAAATCAGACACACTTATCTTAATTAGTTAGTCGCTCATAAAAAGGCCAACTAAAAAGTCAACCAGCTCCTGGGACAAAC